TTTGAAAATCTATTTTATGGAGTTCCAAGGGCTGTGTTTTCCTTAGGAAGGGCTCATTCTGCCTTTCTGCCCAGGATGGCTGCTAGCAGCCCTCAGCATAGGCCTCTGCAGGTTTTAACGTCCCAAGGTGCCCCACACATATGACTAACAAAATGTAAATAAACACAGCTGAGCCAGTAAGAAATTGGAAGGTTTTCTCATTAAAGAAATAAAATAAACAGATGTCCTTAAGCACTTTGGCTCATGTTTGTCAAAGGAATGGAAAACTCTCAGATGTTTGAACAGCAGTCATGATATAAGGCCACATCTCAAGCGAGAGAAGGGGAAAAAAGCGATGCCCTGGCACTCAGAATTAACTAATAGTTCTCAGGGGAGGCCCCTTTTGATTTGAACCTTAGCAACTTCTACAAATAGTTTTTAACAGCCCAGCAATAAAATGGGGTTTTATTCCTTCTCAGTTTGTAAAGTAGTAAAGGACAGGCTCGGCCATTAGGAGCATGAATCACCAGCAGATTTGATTAAATCCCCATGGTGTTTCAATCAGGTCCTGGCTTTAGGGTCCTGGGAGAGAACAAAGCAGGGAAAAGCACAAGCTACTTGAAGCATTCAGTGAAACCAGGGAAGGGGGGGAAAAAAAGAAATTAAAAAATCAAACCTCGGGTTTTACAAGGATCTCAAGTAGAGCCAAGGAGGAACTTTTCAATGACTTTTTTTTTAAGTTGGAAATTATAATTCATTCAAAGGAAAACTTTTCATAAGAACATGTAACAGCCAGTGAAAAAACTTTGGAGGAATAAGGTTTCTTAGATCCACAACATCATTTTTGGTGAGAACAAGACAGTCCAGTTCACAGCCAGCATACAGCAGCTATTACATTTGTTCCAATGCTAGAAAATCATATTTATGTCCTGTCCTCAATTGGGCCAAGCAGAAACTTTTGCTACTCTCTCCAAAAGGTCCTGCTATGATTGGTGGACCCTCTCCTGGGTGACTGCAAGTCTCTCATCAGGGTGGCCAAGCCCATGTTTGCACAGGCTGGAAAGCTGAGGGCACCTCCTGTCTCCCCCACACCTCTCTGCTCACGGCTTGAGTAAACCTCATGCTGCCACTTCTGAAACACAAAAGCGTTAAAAAAATGTGGCTGTCACAGAAAACCAGCCTCTGCTTCAAGCAAGCAACTCTGAGTCAGACTACAAACCCTCAGTGAATGCAGAGTGGCTGCTCCAGGTAAAGCAACCACAGAGCCCCAGCTTGCAGGGCCAGGGTCACACAGGGGAGCTACACCCCTTCCACTGCAGGTTAACCCACAGCATGGCTTTGCATGATTTTAAACCAGGACATAATGCTTTACAAATTTTTGCAGTATGTTTTTTTCTTAGTTTGAGCTAATTCCAACTACCGAACAATCTCAGAAATTGTATGGCTCTTGCAGGGAAGTTTATGGATCCAAACTCACAGGTATCAGCAGGCACTGTCAAAGTGCTGATAAAGATCCAACACAATTCAAGAATTTAGACTGTCCTCTGTGTTCAAATCTCTAAGCCCAAACTAAAATAAAATCCTTGTCATTTGATTCCAGGATTTTGGAGTATCTTGCATATAAAGATGAGTTTTAACTCCAGTTTTTACTTTACTCACAAGTCACTTGGACACTTCAATCCCAAGAAGTGGGGATGCAACACAGAACAGATGTGTTCGAATACACATTCTTGTAACAATAAAAAAGTACTAAGAAAAGGTATTGGCTTCACAGAGCTCCCTCAAATTAGGGAAAACAACACACTCACTGCTCCCTTTTTTCCTTGATACCAGTCCTTCGAAAAGCATGAGAATGAAACTGCAGTATAATACTTGAACAAAAATTTCTGAATCTCTTTCAGTCTGAGAAATTTTAAAGCTTAGACAACACAGGTTATGGAACAAGCTTGCAAAAATCCCAGTTGGGGAAAGAGGAATAGAGTCATGATTATTTTTGGCACAGGACCGCATGCAATCTCCTCATATTGTTTCTGAATTACTACCACCAAACGAGTCTTTCTGTGCTCACCTTGCTGTGTCAAACAAGCCCCCTGACTGTTACCCAACTCCTGTGAAAGCCCAGCAGCACTGTTACGGATTTTGAGCCAGTTTTCCCCCACTATGTTCAGTCAATGATCTGGGGACAAATCTTTGCTGGCATGGCCAGGCCTGCAGCCATCTCTCTGTGGAGCAGCAGCTCCATCACACACACCTAAGGGATTAAAAAGGCCCCATGGACACCACAAAAAGCCACAAGGATCTACATTTACTGAGGTCTGTAGGCAAATGATAAATATTCTGCACCCATTCAGTGATCAGAAACCTGCAGAACAGGTTTTATAAACCCTCCTGAACATAATACCCAGGTTTACCTGCCTCTGGAACTTTTGGGGAGTTACCTTTTCTTGTCACCCTATGGCAAAGAAATTAAGACCGAATTTCTGATGACTCTGCAATCCACAGGCTACAGCAAAGGGTTTGGAAGAGAGGACAAAAAAGAAGCAGCCTAGGCTGGGCTATTCACTCATGCTTCAACTTTCAGTACCTTTTAAGTGCTGTTGGTGCTGTGGGCAGAGTATTTTCTAAACACCTGAGAGTGACTCTCAATGCCCTGAGGAGGCCATATGTTTAAGAGCCACAAAGAAAACAAACAGAATTTTCCCATGAAGTCAGGTCAGAAAATATGCATTGAAGCATTAACCATTAATAACATGACTTTTTGTGAGTTCTTTCTCCTTCTTTTCTTTTTTTTCTCATATTTTGGACAGCTGCCTGTTGCTGCCATCACCGAGGAAGGGGCAACAGACACAATCATTTGTGATTAAGTAGCTAAGGAACACAGGAATTTAGACCCAAGTCTCTGAAGCTGTGGTTGGTGTTCCTCCTCCCATCTTTCAAGAAAAATCACCCCAGAAAGAATTGTTATTCTTCAGCTTGGACAACTTCACAGACTAATTCTTTGAGCAGCTGCAGCTCCACCAGGCCAACAGACAGGATGATACTGGGAGATAAATATTGGCCAGGGAATGGTCAGGATCACATAAACTCACACCTTTTCTGGAGGAAGACAGAGTGAACCAAGATCTCCATGTGTGAGATTTAATTATAAGCATATGCATGTCTAATTACAGGCATGTGAATTCTTTTATGAAGAATTTTGGCTTTGATACTTAATTTACTTGGAGATTAACACTTCCTACACTACTGAAGTAAGAGATTCTGAAACTATTAACCTCTGGCTGCTTCACTTGTACTTGATAGTTTTGAATTGTGCTACTATTTAACAGTTCCCAGGACAGCCTGTCTGAGTGTGCTGTATTTCCCTCTTGGTTTAAGGTCTGTTCCAAAGCCCACCAAAGCCTCTGGTTGTCTTTGGATCAAGCCAGCAGCCTATAATAGTTTTATAAGTATTATAAACCATTTCCCTTACAGGAGAGTCCTAAGGAATTTAATACTGATGAAACAAATGAAGAACTGCAAAGAAAAAAGTCCTTCTAGAGAAGTTTCTCAAGGAACCCATTGTAACTCAATAGAGAAGGTGATTGATTCTTCCAAAAAAATATTCCTGTTTATATCATTCACTGAATTAGAATAAAGGAAACAGCCAACAGAAGCCCCCACACAGCAGATTCCAACTGTACACCCTCTAAACATGGGCAGGAGGCAGCAGGTGAAGGCATCTGCTTCAGAGGTTCTGTGCTAGGACAAAGCCAGCCCATTAAGGGAATTCTCCACATGAATTCAGCAGCCCCTGCCCAAGGCTGAGCTCGACCACAGAGCAGATCTGCACACCCTGAGTTTGTTTCCTCATCCTGCCTAATTCTTTCTGGTGTTTGTAGGCAGTAGGTCTGAGCTTACACATGCACACCTCGTTCATTATGTTCTCTGGGAAAAGTCACCACTTCAATTACCTTGTACAGCATGGCTCTGGGTAAATCCCTGCTTGGAAACACGTGCTTGGTTTTCAGAGGGTGCTGCTAGAAGTGTTAGCAGCATTCCAAGTGCTGCAGTAGACTTCCACACCACAAACACCATTTTATATCCTTTACAACTGTGCACATCTAACAGTGAACAATAAATCTATCTTACTAATTACACATTCAGCTTGTTATAACCATCATAAAAGTACAGCTGGTAAAGCCATGAAATGATGTCAAATCATATTTCTGCTTTCTGGAGAGAAGCTGGGTTATTTTCCAGTCTCCTGATGAAGCTGAGTGCTCAAAGCCATGTGTGGAAACAGCTGCCAACTATGTCATCCACCTTTAATTAGGTAATGATATTGTCTTTTTTCCTACCCATTCAAAAGTGCTTGACATTCTGTAATTCAAAGTGACTTAGGTGTTTATCATAAAAAGCTGCCTCAGGAAGAAATTGAAGCACATGGTACTAAATCAGAACCAATGTTTTCTCCTTAGCAGCTAAGTTCAGGCTGCTCAGCCACAGTTATATAAAAGAATGGAATTGCCTGTATTTCAAAGAGGGTAACTGAAGTATGGCCAGCTAAATAAGTTTCTGAAGCCCCCCTAGAAATGTGAGCTTCAGCAGCAATGTGGGGAAGCACAGCCAGTTCTTCATGGCAACCCAGACACAGGAACACAAAATCTCTCTTAAAAAATCGTCTGAGATTTGTAAGAAAACACTGGTCTAACAAAAAAAAGTGCTAGCTTATTCAGGCTGGAGTTAATGGAGTCTGGCTGCTGGATGCCCTCTCTTGCAGACAACAGACACTGGAAGAACATCCCGGCAAGTGGCAGCTGAACAACACAAGCTTTGGAAAAAACAAGGGGCTACTTGCAACATGAAAGGGAGGTAAATTAAATTTTCACATGTTCGGAGGAAATACCACAGGACACGTTTATACAAATATGTCTGAATAAAACAGGCAGCATCTGTTTGAAAAGCTGGCTCATTAGCTGCCCCCACAGTTCCCGACGCAATTCGGCTGGACAAGCAGTAATGCTAAAAAAATTAAATTTTACCTTCCCATATCTGGATGCAAAGGTTCCCGTGAGTAAGGAGTGAAAAATAATTATCGTCTCATCCAAATCCCATACAAACACACGCTGTGATGACAGATGGGGTGGAAAAAAGAAATATAGTTACATATTAAGCAACTGCAAGAACCGGTTCAGTCAGGAAATATGTCCTGTTGGACTAGAGATTTTTAAGATCTCAAGCCATTTGGAGCACTGACTGGATGTTTTTTGAAAGCAGGCAAAATGAAACATCAGGAATTTTGGAACTGCCATCCCAAGAGCTTGCTCTCCTAACAACCACAGAAATCCCCTGTTGCCTATCAAGTCAGGGGAACAAAACATCAGACTTACAAAAAACCCAAAGGAAAAAAAAAAGGGTACATATGAAGAATAGTTTGAGATGTTGATAACACAGAAATTGAGCAATTGTTTTGACTACTTGTGCCTGCAGGTTCCAGTTGTATTAGTAATTTTGTTCTCAGATTTGCTAACAGAGGCAACTGCTCATCTTTGCTGGATGTACCAAAGGAATACAAATTGAAGTTATTACCTCAATCTCACTGTCAGCAGTAGGGGAAGGGTCGTTGCTTCTTTTTGACCGGGCTCGTACCTTGCCATCTGACCCTCTGTGATGTCTGTCTGTCTCCACATCTTTTGCTGGTGTTGTTGAATATTCCCCTATTAGGAGAAAGAAATTCCATTGCAAACCTAAATTTTGTATTGCATCACTGTATTTAGAGCATGAAACCTTTTACTGAAAAGCAACAGAAACACTGTGAAAACACCATGAGAAAATCTTACTCTTTTCACACCAATAGCTAACAGTGTAAGACAAGCAAGTTTTAATTCCTAAGAGTTGTTAAAACAATTTCAAGAATCACAAAAACTGCATATATAAGTTTTAAAAAGGGCATGTCATTTCAAAAACCTTATCAAAATTTTCACTAGAAAGAAAAGACTTTTGGAATTTTACTCCCCCCCATTCTTTTCAAAGACAGAAATTAGAAAGGCAGTAGAAACAGAATCCAAGACCAATTACACTTCTGAAATATTTTCTCAAATTTTTTTTTAAATTTAATGAATGCAAATGATTGAAAATATACTTTCAACATCAACTTTTATTTAAAAACACGGAACTAACCTGTTGAGCCTTACCCCATTTCTTAGAGGATAGTATTTTAGAAATAACTGAGACGACACAGTTAAAAGCAAACTTCCTATGTATAAAGTATCTGTTTTGATTGGCTTCAGTTTCACAGATCTGTCTGGATTTCACTCACCTTACATTACAAATCCTTTTCAAACATATTTTTCTTTACACCTTGCTAAGATGTGGCCTCTGCAACTTCCTAGAATAACCATACTCTTCTTCAGAGAACCTGGGATTGTGCCTAGGAAGCCTTTTAGAAATTATCCTTTCTCAAAAAGGCTGAGATAAGATCTAAGGAACTGAAAATCCTCCAACTGCTTTTAGAGCAGTCTGTGATCACTCCTTTTTAAATAACAATACTAGTTTATTTTTCTTGTAGAGCAACCACAGATGTTCAGATTTGTTTTTTAAGTCAGCAGACCTTCAGTGGGTGTGTACTGTGATCATCCACAAATTGTGTGGTGTTTTATATAAATGTTATTGCACGCCAATAAAAACTAGCAGGGAAGTGATATCTGAAGATTGCTCTTGAACAGGACACTGGGGGATCATAATCCACCAGTAAGTCCATAATCTACTTAAGCTTTGAAACTTTAAAAATTAGGCATTCAAAGAGAAGACACAAATTTTGAAGCTTTTTTGGAGTGGAATTCATCTCGAACTTTCATATTAAACACACAGTTTGTGTAGGTTTTTTAAAGAGGGACTTTTTCTTGATGTTGTTATGAATGCACAATATTACATGTTGCTGTAAGAGGTGAATATAATCCTTGACAAAGTTATGGGCTAAAAAGTCATCAGACACTGAGGAACCTGAGAATTTTTCAGAGCATGGCAGTTTGTTTTGAATTCATTGCCATCCATGTCAGCCCTCAGTGCTGCTCTGGGGTTGGTACATCATTGTCATTGTCTCATTTTCCTGTACTACCTTAGAGGAGATCAAACCTCATGTACACACAAAACCAACACAGGATGGTTTTAGAGAGCTTGAACATTCCAACCTCTTCCCAAACCCCTGTGTAAGAACTGCTCAGTGCTAGAAAATCTGAGCTATCAATACATATTTTATAAAAAACCCCAACAAGAAGAGGATAGCGTTTATGTCTCCAGATGGCTGAGGCTGCCAGGCTGGGAGCACAAGAGAGGCACCTACCAGAGAGTGATTCTGTGCTCTGGCTGGTGATGTTGTGGGAAGACTCCTGCAGGGAGTAGGTGGAGGTGGGGATGGCCGAGGGGCTGATGCTGTTGGCAGACACGTACGGGGAGTTGTAGGACGAGCTGTAATACTGAGAGTACTGGCTCTGAGGGAAGCTGGGATACGAGGAATATTCCTTGGAGGGAGAGAAAGAAATGTCTAACTGGCATGTATCTGGTTTTGTCTTACAAACAAGTAAGCCACCACAAAAGCTGTGTTGCTTGTGCACGCAGCAAGCCACGGCTTGGGAATATTTCTCTGAAGAATTGCATTGCACTCACTTAGGAAATTACATTTCTGCTTCTCACAAATATGCTCCTATTTTATTATGATAGACTAACCAACAAGAGGTCAGAAATCTGGGGTTTTTGATAGGATTTCAGTTATCAGTGCTGACACATTTTATATTACAGAGTTCAACAATTTAATGCAAGAGTCAAGTAGGGTGGCTTTAAGAAAAGGGCCATGATGGAACACGTAACCTTTGCAAACAACAAAATACCTAAGAAATTGCAAGAGCAGAATGAATAACTGAGTGAGGGAAGGAGCAAAACAGGTTGCATTTTCCATTGATCAGCAACATCTTCTGATCAACTGTTAGGCTAAAAAAATTAAAAGAAAGTAGCAATTTTTTTGCAGCAATGCTCACAACAGTCTGCCCAACTATCACAGCAATAAATAAATGCCTGAGTGATCTTGCTTACCCAGAGAAAAATGAACTAAAAAATATGAGGTGTAAGTGACCTTGGGCAGTTGAGGTATCAAAAAACTCTTTGCCTTGATTTTAAGGCACCCAGAGAAACCCCATACCATTACCCTTGGATGACTGGTGGGTGCATTATGAAAAGCAGGATGCTAGAAAACATTCTAAAATGCATCTCTGAACAATCAAAGCATAAAGGGTTTAATTTGTTTCTTTTTGTTTTAATTGCAATTCCTGTCCTTGTCCACTGAATTTGCTTTTCCAGACAGAGAACTCTGTTCATGCTCTGGGCATTGTCTTTGAGCAGAAGGCTTTTATTTCCTCAGAAATTATAACTAGCCTCTGGTATTAAATATAATTAAATAATAAATAGTCTTTAGAAAGACTAAAAGCACTTTCCTCCTTAACAGCTTACATCTTTGTCTGTGACAGCTATTTCATTAACTTTCAGTCACCAGGGAGCTCTCAAGAACAAAGACTCAAATTGTCATAAGAACAATTAGACTGAAAAAGAAATGAGATAATTTCATTGTTTTCTCCTACGGAAGATTACAAAATAATGAAAAAAGCCCAACTTTTCCCCCTGTTTAGGCAACCTCCATATTTCAATGAAATGCACTTCTGTCAGTAATGCTGATGTTTTAAGCCCAAACTGCAGCAACAAAGAAATTGCCCACTGTTGCCATTAAAAATACAAGTCAACAATCACCCTACAAATAAGGAACTGAAATTACTGGCCAACCAAAACACATTTTTCTGGGACAGTGTACTCATTTGTTTGCTCCAAACAAAAAGAGCCTTTTGCTACTGGAAAACATCTGTCTTGTGTTTTATTTATACACACACATTTACCAAGGTATCTGAGGCACAGAGCGCACAGACAGGTGTGCTCTCAAAGAGGGAAGTGCACAGACAGCTCAGATGGCTCAACATCCACCAGGAGCTGCCAAGGCCTCTCTCAGATTGTTCACACTTACTGCACAGTGCCAGCACAGGGATGACAGGACTCTAGAAGCCATCCCCTCTGGAGAGGATGCACAACATAGCTGAGAGTTGTAAGATGGCAGAAGAATAAGGAAACTCTTGGCACTGCTACAGCAGCAAGTCAGAGACTGCCAGGGCACTCTGCTCCTGCAAGGACTGCACTCTGTGCGTGGACTGAGACATATCTTAAAATTAACCAGGATATCCTGAAGTCCAGCAAACAGGCCCAAGGAGTAGAGCAGAATGGTGTTCAGCAAAACACAAAGCAACACCTTCCTTAAATATGTGTGAACACGAAAATAATCTCTGTGATCTATAAATTGTCCAAGTGGTTTAAAATAAGTGACAAGGTTGCCAGCAATAGGTGCTGAACCATACCTGATGCACAGCACTGAATCCTGCAGAATTTGTCAGGCCATTGGCTCCCTGGTAAATCCCTGTTGTGCCTGAGGGAAAGAGTGTAACAGTCATAAAATACACCAGCAATCAATGTAACAGGGTATGTTAATTCAAGTAATTTCCAACAGGAAGTAAAGTACCAGCTCACTACAAAAAAGTATGGCACAAATCTGAGGCTGTAAAGACTTTGGGCTGTTATTGGGGTTTACTGACTGAAAGGCATTCATTACATGCACTAAAACATTGATTATTGGGCTGGGAAACACAGCTGGAACACAAGGATTCAGCCCAGATCTAAAATTCAGTTACTACTTTTTACAATAAGTAACGGAATAGTATTTTTTATCTTCTCCTCCTGTAGGAAGCCCCTCAGATTACATACACACTCTCCCACATCTGCTGTTCATGCATGGATATCCAGGCATCCGTCCTAATTGATCAGGTACCCAGGAGTTTTCAGAAGAAAAATCTTGCTATTCCCAATGTGAGAACAATATTGCTGAGATTTCTGGGACAGCAAGGAACAAAGATATTTCTTCCTCCTGGGACATCAGGAAGATAAAGGATGGGCATGGTTCTGTCCCAAGCAAAGCAGCTGATGTTCAGCCAGGCTCCCTCAGCTGGAGGAAGCACCACCACAAAGATTTTGTTTGGAGAAGTAAATGTCCAGGTAAGATCTACAGGAATGGGCTGTCTTTGCCATCAGAGGTACCAGAACCATAAGCTCTCCTCACCTCCCAAGTTTTAGCCTTGATTTAACCTCACTCTATGCTGGTTTTGATTTCAGCATTTTCCATTTCACATGGTGTGTCAGAGAGGTATGATTTTGGTGCTGCCTGCCTGGGCTCATTTTGGCTTCATTCTGTCACCTCAATGTACCAGCAGACCGAGCCTAATCAGACCTTTGGCCTTTCTTTCTCATCTGGCTTCTCACCATGTGAATGACTTTGAGCAGTGCTGTTTTAACCACATGACACTCTGCACGTCTTCATGTGGCAACCATCCTCCGAGGTTCCACTTGCTTGTTTTTATTTTAGGACACCAGATTAGCTGGGGAATGGACAGCTGAACAAACTCCACTCTGCCAAGTGCAGCTACAAAGCACATGCACTGAGAAATAAACCTCAAGCCAAAAAGAAACAAGAGAGAGGACTCTGCCCTCCTGAACTAATTTGTTGCCACATGTGGTCTTTAAAAAGAAAATAGCAGAGAGGAAGAAAACAGAGTGCAGGTGACTGCCAGGTACCTGGAGGCCTGGGTCTCCCCCAGGCCCAGAATGAGCTGCTGGGAGCTGAGCCAGTGCAGGTGGGCTTGGAGATGCCTTCTCCTGGCATTCCTGCCTTGGAGGCAGCTCTGGGTGGATCAGTGTCCAATCCCTTCCAACAACCCACATGGGGAGACTGCCCAGAGCAGCATCCCAGAGACAGCAACACACCCAGCTGCTGGCATTTCCCCACTCCCCATCTCTGACAGGCTTCTGCAGGCTTGCCAAGTCGCAGGGATAGAGCAGTAGGAATATATTCCTGTGGCAGCAGCATTTCTCACCACTCTGAAGGAGAGTAATAGAGCCCCAGTGCTTACAGGCAAAAACAACTTCCACAGAAGACAAAACAGCTCTTGTACACCAGAGCTCGAAACAATACAGGGGGGAATTTTTGATTTTCCTAAACTGTCATTTAGAAACAATCCATCATCCTTTATTAAAGCTGTCAGGAGGGGGATGAGTTACCTCGAGGGACTCACGCTTTATGTGTAAATTGTGATGAGAACATGTTTATTGCTGTGCTACCTGCACATGATACTGCAGCTTCCTGGTTTCCAAACAGTCAGAGAGAGCGAGGAAAGGAGGGATTCACACAGCTGGATTAAAGAACTCACTCAGAACTCTGTACCAGCTGTGAGGAGCAAGCGTGTCCATGCACACAGAGGTAAGTGAGCAGGGAGAAGAGGGCAGGAATGTGGGGGTGAAAGGACGGGGAATGACTCCACAGCTTCCCACAGTGCACTGTGACTGGACCAAGTGGGGTGAATTTTACACTGGAATTTTGTAAATTAATTTTTTGACACTATGGCTACCCAAGTTCAGGTGTTCCTAGAGGCCACTGCAGGCTGCCTCCCTCTGCACAGGGGATTTTCCAAAGGAAGGACAGATTTTTTGCCCACATGCTTAAATATTTGTGGAAGTGCTGAAGACTGCTATTCCCTATAAACTGAAGTTCAACATGTCAGCTCAGGTTTTTCTCTTCTTCTGGCTCCTGTCATTGTATCCTGACCAAGGAGCACTACCATCTCAGCATTGTTTGTCTAACTGAGATCAAACACAACCTTTTTCCTTGCCCTCCAGCAGTGCATTCAGAGATTTGAATGTCCTCCCCACAGCACACCTTGAGAGCTGCTAAGCTCAGGATGTCTTGGCAGCTCAGTGTTACAGCAGAATAATTACAGATAAGGACACTGGGGATAACCAAAATCAGTAAATACTTGGAATTTCTTCCTAGCTGAACAAAGATGAAAAGAAGGGAAAAAACCCCCAATTATCTGCGTGGAAAAGAAAATTTTTAAAGATTCAGGTTCAGCAATATTTGTCTTGGGGAACTATTATAGCTCAGACCCTGTTCCACTTCGCAGGGCAGACTGGAGAGACCACGTTTTCAATGATGCACCCTCAGCTCAAATGGCAGGAAAACAAACAAGTGCCACAGGCAGTGGAGCCAGAGATAAACCCCCTCTCTCCATAAACAGAGAATGAGGCCTGCAGGTCACAATTTCTGTGAGCAGCCTTGTAGAGTTCAGCAGTTCAGAACACATACCAGAACCAGCCCCAAATGTTTGCTTTTCCTCAGTAAGCTGTTGGTAGGAAATAAACACTTCCACAACAAAATTAATTCTGCCAGGTGCAATTTCAGTTTTGCATCAGTAAATTTTACACTCAAGAAACTGGAAAATTATCAACAGATATTGCAAATTAGCCCTATTTCCCATGTAACCATTTTTCCCCTCAAACACTTTCCCAGGTAATAGCACTTCTTGTAATATTCAGAGGAAGATTGGAATGAAGTTTGAAAGTGGTGCTATGTGGAAAGGGGCACTTCTAGGAAGTCCCTTGGTAAAGCAATGTACATGAATGCCTGGACCCCTCTCTTTTCTGCCTATTTCTACAGGACTTTTGCTTTCACATATATTGGCTTTTTTCCACGGACCTCTAAAGACAACACACACTCAAACTGGTTTTACATTTGCAATACTGTAGAGGTGGGAGCAAGCGATTTGTTTCCATCTATCTTGGTAGCTCAATGCCAAGTAATTGCATCCAAACTCCCTGCAAATCAGAAACAAGCCCAGGATCTCCCCCTTTGGATCTTCTCCATATGGAATATGGCTCACATCTGTGTTCAATCAAGCCAGTTGCTAAATGTCACAATGCCCTCATTCACAGGTAGCTTAAAGAACATTTAGCTCATAATAAAACAATCTGAACTCTGAAGCAGAACAGCTCTTCAGATGTGTGGCACTGTAAGTGCTCCTGTGAAGTATTTCTATCACAAACACACTCCCATGGAAAGTCACCGCATGAAAGGCATCCACATGCCAGGCAGAGCCAGTGCCACAATTTTCCCTTGATAAGTAGATGTGGCCCTTCTCTCTGTGAGTGTCCAAGGGCAACATGTACAGAAAAACTCTTTGTGAGCTGATTAATGTTCTATTCCTGCTCTCAAACAGATGGATTTCATTTGCTATTTTCCCCTCATTCCCATTTTAATTTGAGCATTCCCAAAAAGCCTATGCCATGGTCAATGATCATTTCAATGGTGCGTGATCTGGCCTGCAAAAACTTTCATACCAGCTTCTCACCCTCTACATCTGTCTTTCAGTCACTGCAGTACAGGCCACATTTCTTCCCCTCCTTGCCAGGTATGAGCAAGTAAAGAAAAGAAAGGAATATTCGTGGTTATTTTCAGTGTATTCACAACTAAGCGCTGGCATTGCTAAAAAAAATAATTTTTTTCAGCTCATGAATGCACAGAATGATACAGGACTACTGGTGTCTTAGGGAGTGGAGATTATGAAGACAGGATGGGCCTGTGGTGTAGCTCAGATCAAAACCACAGCAAGCTTTGAAAATCAGGTTTGTGTCCTTGTCTTTCACAAGTCAGAGGGGCCCTGGCAACAGGGAGATGTTCTCCAAGCCTCCTGTACTGCTCAAAAGAGAATAAACTGCTATATTTAGAAGAACAGATGGTTTGCACTTCCAACATTCAATGAAACAGCCAACAGTCAGAGGAGGAGATGGCCAGGTTCAACACAGCTGGACAGCTTCAGTGTTTACCACAGCTCTCTGGGCAGCCAGCTGTGAGCCCAGGAACACTGAAAAGATGCAACACTGAGAGTGGCTAGCACAGGCATTTCTGAGTATGTTTGGGTCATGATTTAAATCCCAAAAAGCAGAATGAGGAAGCTCAGACCTAAGCATTTCCTCTAACTCTTAGATGAAACGCACAATGGTTCCACAGAGAGTTCCCTCAAAGGATTTAGGACCATTTAGGACTAATAAAATAAATGCCTGCAGGGGTCAGCTGAATTGCATGGTGTTTTACAAGGCTGCACACAATGGCCTGTGCACTCTGACATCATCAGGCTGTTTTCCTGCAGGAAGCACTGCTGGCTGTGGGTGATGAAGGCAAAGGCCCCAGTCCTCCTCCCTGCACAGCGTGCTTTGCTCTGTGCTTTGAACATCTGCCTGAAGTCTTCCATGGTCATTCAGAGGGGTTCTTTGCAGTGCTTTAGCTCCCTGACAAGCTAATGTTTCCTGCAGTAAATACTGCCTTCTCCAAGCTGCTACACTTTTACTGAGAGGTTAAGCACTCATCAAAATTACCTCCCACCAGCTATACTCTAGTGCCTTGTAAGGTTCCAAATCCTACAACATCTGCCTGCATTTACTGGGCAAGAAGACTCATAAAACCTTGCATGTTTGTCAGCTGTGGAGGCATTTCAAGACTATCCAACCTGTTAAAGGAGAAGAAAAACTCAACCCATATGTACTTTG